AAAGTCTCACAATGTTTTAAATAAATTTATGATTTTGTGTTGGGCTTAATTCATGGCCATCCTGGGCCACATGTGGCCCCCAGGTGAAGGGTTGGATACCCCTGCTAGTGAATATGTTATAGAAACATATATTTTTTAAATTCTCTGACATATATCTAACATTCTCAACATATTTTCTTATATCAGCCTTTCCTTGAATTTCATGGGACAAATAAACATAAGATTCAATAACAGTTTCTTGATGAGTTATTTTTGATGATGGTTTTGTAGCTGTTTTGCAAGAGTTTGAATAACACCTTACACTTTTTAAACTGAATTCTAAACATAGCTTCAACAAAAGGAATTACATGATATATTCAAAAGAAATTAACATATAACTTTGTTCCTCAATGTCCTCACAGAGACAAGTTATTTTTACACTTTAAGTATTATATAAACATTTCTATGACATAATTTTCTTAATGCTTTTACTTTTCTTCTAACACTGGGTTGAAATTCTTTAATGATATCACTTATACACTTAGGTTTTTAATATTTAGATGTAAAGAAATAAAATATGTATACCTGGTAGAACATACACATATTTTATGTATTTATAATGATTACAAACAAAAGAATCATGAACATGAAATATTGCTGATACTTAAGGAAAGTTTTAGTTTTGGGGTTTATTTTTTACTTCATTTTTAAAATTTTTGTGTTTTTTTATGGACATTTAAACAACAATAGCAATGATAATAATAAGTAAAATGGAAGAGTTTACTTTATTCCTTTCCTTAGTTTAACTTCTTTTTATACATTATCCCATAGAATTGCCACAACCACTGAATGTTCAGTGAAATTATTCAAACTGTACAAGTGTTCAGTGTAATAAATTGAAAAACCAGGATTTGAGCTATGTCTGTGAGAATACAAAATGGAAGTTTCTAATATATATAATGCATACAAACTGAAATATAGGTGTCTCAGATAAGATAACATCCTCAGAATAGGTTGAATCAAAGTCTCCATTTTAACCTCTTATGGGCCTTTCAATTTACCCCTAAGGTGCAATATGATGGCAAACCCGGGATACTAAGTGTCACATTTTGGTTGACTGGCTGACTTTTCATATTTACACCAGAAGTAATGATGTATTTAACAATATTGCATATGACTATTACTTAAATCTATTAAATTGAAATACCAATTTTCTTCTCTAAACCACATATATAATTCAATTTAGATTGCTGAGTTCTTTTAATTCTCATGCAAAATCAAAGTAATTATGCTAATTTATATTTGAGCACTGAACAATGATTGCATGATTGAATGTAATAGCTGGTAATGTAGAAATGGCATAAAATGTTATCTTCATACTAGTTGCCAAATTTTGAATTTAAAAAAATCCTAAAAAGCAGACTATATACCATAAACATACTTACAGATTAAAACCATTTAGGAATTTTATAAGATTTTAGAACAGTAGTCATTAATATACATTTAATCTATGTTTTAAGTTTATACTAAAATGAAATAAGATGACTATACAAAATATTTAGAACTACTTTAAGGTACCTTTTTGTCTATTTCTAAGTGGCAAAACATTGATGATCTTCATTAAAATTCACTGTGATATATGATGTAGCATAAATTATGGAATATTGAGAATTGAAGCAGAAGACAACTTAGGAACTTCTCCTAGCAAAGTCTGAGAAAGGAGTGATTTGAAGAAAAGTATTCTATGCAAAAGTTACCATTGCCATAGTAAAAATTAGGATATGAGTAGGATAATTTTATCCCCCTAAAAGGACAATTTAATAATTAAGTGCAATAAAACTGACTCTTCATCTTTCCTTCTTCTCACTCCTTTCCATTTTTTCTCTTTCCCCCCTCCCAGTTCTAGGTTTTCAGGGAAGGAATTTGATTAGATCCTTTGTTTTGCTTGTCAACAATGTTGATAAAGGTTGGTTGTAGATACACATTCATCTAGAAAATGGCTGCTTCCTTTATTCAGTAGGAAGTAAAGTTCATCTCTTAAAGTGGATGTGGAGAGCTGGACAGACATTGTGATAAGGAATCTCTTCAGGAATCAAATACAACCTGAATGAAACCTATATTCCAGAATAAGATGTAAAAGGAGACAAGACGAGGCAAAGAGGAGTTGAAAAACAGTAATTTCTGCATGGAGACACTAAAACCAAGGGAAGTAGAAAAACAAAAGAAAAAATATGTATTCAGCAAAACAAAATGAGTAATATGAAGACTGGGAAATCACCACTGGATCTGACCACTGAAGAATAATTGGTAATCTTCAGAATGACAGTTTCTGCATAGATCAGAAAAGTGTTAGCTGTTAAATGATTTGATGAATTCAATCATTTTACATTTTGCCCTCAGAAATTGGTATAATGACCAATATTTTAAAAACAAGAGGGAAAATAAGGGTAATTTCCTATGACATTACTAACAATTGCAGGCTCCTAGTATACTCTCTTTTAATCTAAACGCCTATAGATTGTTTTAAGAGTCTATTTAAAATTGTAACTAAGAAGTTAATGTCAAATTTACCAATCTATGGTTTCTAGAACATAATTTTTAAAACAAAATATGAGGACATATTCCCATCTCCAATATTCTAGAGGCTCCCACATTTGGATTACATAGGGTTACTTGAATGAGATAGGATTCTCTTTAAAATTTTCCCTGTTTTCCCCAGGAATATACTTTGTTTGGGCCAGGAAATGAACTATTTTGTAAGCAACCATCTGCTCTTACATTATCCTGGCTTTATTTTTCTCTTACATTTTTTCCTGTTTGAAGACCATTTTCCTTGACATGGAAATGGTACAACAAAAACACTGAGTATTTCTGTTATCTCTTCATAATCTACATTGGTCCCAATCATTAAAAATAAAATTTCTATTTCTATTTGAGGTACAGTTCATGTTAGAAGAGTCATTTCTTGTCTCCAGAAGACCTTATATATGCAAAGATATAAGCACAGGGTAAACTATGTACCAAACACCCCTTGCAGGCTTGTACACAATTGGAGAAAGAAGATTCAAATGAAATGGATAGGTGTGTGTGGAAGAGTAGGGATGGTGATGTGGAAAACAGTAAATCGGTCACAGATATATGTGCAAAGTATGTTGTAAAATCCTAACCAACTGGATTTTTGACATGACTTCACAGACACCTGTTGTATATTTTATGTCTATAATTCTGCAATGGTAAATTAGTTTCTTCTACTTCATACTGTATAACCTGTATGTTACAATTTGAATTATTGTCCAGTGTTTTTAAGAACTATTGAGTGATCATAAATTTGATTATTACAAGAGATTTTATGTAATCAAATGTGGTAATGGCTTACCATCAGTCTATTGCCTATTACATTTATCAAATTCATCTCTCTCCACTTTCATGAAAACACAGGTCTTCACTCAAAACCTCTCTTCACTGCACTGAAATGAACTGAACTTATTTCTACTTCCATACCTTTACTTATGCTTTTGAGTTATATTTTCTATGCACTATTTTTTTCTGCATGTTATCCAACACTCAAGTATCAGTTTAAGCCCCACCTCCCACTTAAACCATTCTCTAAGGAGGACTCCAATCTCAATAATTCTATCACATTTACGGAAACCACATATTAGGCTAGATGTTGAGGAAACCACAAAGAGTAACCATAGATTGCTATTTTGTCCTTTAGTCCTTTATATCTTTAGTGTTCAATGAAATAAATATATTGCTAGAAAAATGGTATTTGCACACTAAATTCTTAGCCTTATACACAGGGAGTAGTTAACACTTTAAAGATGACTCTGTCATAATGTTAAAACTAGCTTTAAAAATACAACTTGGGGGAAGGCAGGGTTGGAGGGAGAGGGATAATAGAGAAGATTGGTCTTGGGGTGAATTTGAATATTAGAAGTAAAGAAAATGACAAAACCACCTTGTCATTCCTTCAGACCACACACAGGAAGATGTTAAATACCAGGATATTAAAGGAAGAAGAGTCAGAAAATTCTCAATAAAGAAGAGGCAGATTGGTGAGGAACCAAAGGAAACCGGTATTGATTAAAATGCTGGTAGCAGCAAGAAGCCTACTATTGTTTTACACATTTTACCTGACTCAGCCCTCACCACAGTCTTTTGAAGAGTTTATTGTTATTCACACTCTGTAAATGGGGAAACAGAATATTTTTGTATGTGTGTGTACCTACATATATATTTATATGTACACATATATGACCAATAAGGTAATTGCAGTTTTACCACATAAAATAAATCAAAGAAGAAAAATATGTATTTCGTTTATAAAGAGAAAAATATTAAATATATACATTGTTTTAGAGAGTAGGGCATAAACACAGAAACTATAAACCTATGACACAGTATCATACATATATTAGGATTCTTTCAAAAAAAGAAAGAATGACACATCAAGCCAAAAGTCTTGTTTTTTTTCTTTTCAGGGAGACATTCTGTCATTACAAAAGTACATCCTCCCTTGTGAAAATATATTTTTAGAATTCTAGCAAATGCAAGCTTTATGCAACTGCAAAATGGAAGAAATGTCACAAATAGAAACCCGCAGCTTATAATATTCACTTTTAAAGCATAACATTTTCCCTTTACATAATTCAATGAAGGCATGTTCAATTCAGAGATTTTCCATCAGTCTTATTTTAGGCTGTATTTTTTCCAATTTACAATTTTACCCCCCTGCCGAAATAAACAAAGGTCAAAGCCAAAATGTAAGTGCACGAAAGCTGTTTAACAAAGTGAGAAATAAAACAAACAAAAAAATGATCCTCACAAACAATCATGCAGAGACAGACATATATCAAAAGTTCAATAATTGAAATAATATATATTTGTATTTGTAGAAATATGTGACTAATATCTATATACTGAACTAATATCATCCTAAAAGAGTTGGTTCCATCATTTAAGTGGCCTTAGAACACTGAGCAGAAAAAATGAATCATGCAAAATGAACAGGAGCTCACCTTTAACTTTATTTTTTGAAGCAGCCGCTGTTCCAAGGAAGGATTGCACAAGAAGAAGAGAACAGGCATATTAGATATTAGACAAAGTCTCTAATAAGAAAAAGAAATATGTTAGTACTGTTAGCTAAAGTCTAAAAAGATATGTTTATTATTACATGATTAAAACACTTTAGATGAATAGGACCTTATAACAAAGAAAATGAGAATTAGTTCTATTCTATTAGCATATGATTAAGCTTCTTTAATAGGAAAGAATAAACTAGATGGGAGCCACACAATGCAAATTCCAAACACCATAGTCACCAATTCCTTTAAGGACTGTAAATATTTCTTTCTCTATTTCCTTCTTAACTCTGAACTTTAGATAATATTTCAATTAAAGAAATACTCATATATATAGTTTAAAATATATTTCAGATTACTTAAGTATTAAACTATAGTCTATAATATTTGGACAAATGATAACAAGCCACTTGCATTTACTGAGCATTTACTAAATGCCAGGAACTGAGGTTGAACACTTCCCACACATCTTCCACTTAATAGGGATAGCCTCAATAAGTAACTTTTGTTATTGTTTCACAAACATGGAAACTGGGGGTCAAATTACTTGCTGACTATGACACAAAAACAAAAACAAAGCTAAAAAAAAAACAAATTTGGGATTTGATTCTAGGTATATTTAATTCCAAAATTTCTTACACTATTGCAACGGTGTCAAACTCATTTTCACCAGGGGCCACATCAGCCTTGTGGTTGCCTTCAAAGGGCCTAATGTAATTTTAGGACTGTATAAATGTAACTACTCCATAACTGTTAAGGAGTTGAAATTACACTGGACCCTTTAAAGGCAACTGCAAGGCTGATGTGGCCCTTGGTGAAAACGAGTTTGGCACCCCTGCACTATTGGGATTTAAGGCACTGAGTCAATCAACTGAGTTGCAAACATCAGGTCTATGAAGCCAAATCAAAACTGGGTGATACATTAAACTCCATCTATTTGGTATTTGGTTGACCACATAGCTATGAAACCAGAAAACTCCATTATTTTAAATGGGTTTATTACCATTAAGAAGCAGATACTTAAGCTTATTTAAATCTAATGGTAAACACTGTTTGGGTTTTATAGTTATTACATTAATGAGAAAGTTATAACAGAACTATAGGGGAGTTCTTTACTCAAAGGAGGATTTCTAGAAAAAAATACATGATTAGAGACCTCTAAACATTTTGAAGTGATAAATTCTATTTTGATTTAAATACTATTTAAGAATGCAGACTGACAGAGGAAAGAGTGCTTTTTCACTCTCTAAATGATATTAAAGATGAAGTGGCAACCTATCCCTAAATTAGGAAATATGCAGTCATTACTTTGGCATACTGACCTTCAATGATGTTTAATTTAGATTTTAGCTAAAGCACTTATAAAGTATATATAGAGTATTTAATCTACAGTTCATCCCATCAAGCTATTTGAAGCTAAATAAAAAATTCTAGCAAATCTAGTACATGCCAGACTACTCACAGAGAATTTCGTGTTCCCAATCATGAACACAATCTTAGCATTTTTCTTCCACTAGCTCATACGAAAATGTACATCATGTTTTTAAAATAATTTTTTCCAGATAAAAATATATTAAATAAAAGCAAAACTATTTCCAAAAACCTCAGTTAAATCCTCGGTAAAACTCATTCAATCTCTGTTTATTCAACAGCTTTAAAATGAAGGCATATGACTTGAGAGGGAGAATGTTTACAATCTTGTTATGAAGATAAAAGTCAAACTAAAAAGCAAAGTTCCAAAATTAAACTACAAGTCATATGGTGATATTGTTGCTTACTATGATGTAACAAATCATAATATAATTTATAAATCATTTAAATCCCTAAAATACTTAATATTAAAACTTAAATTTTAAGTTATTTTTACCAGAAAATTTATTCCTATTTAATGAATGAAATAGTTCTACTTCATTGTTTATTTTTATTATAAAGTTGATATATTTCAAAAAATTAGAGATGATATAGATTGAAAATAATATTTCATCTTTCTCCAGTATTAGCTACTGAAATAACCAATGTTAACTGTTTGCTAATGTTAGAAAAATTAATTGTGCTATTCTTAATCCAGCGCCTTAGAATGCTCTGCCACACTATCTCCAGATTTTGCTGTTCTTACAAAAATTCATAGCATATATATTTGTGTGTATTTCATTTCCAAAAACAGAATAATACTATATGTCTAATATACTACTTTGCAGTTTGCTTTTCCCACAATTTCCAATACATGGAGCTCTAGCTCGCTAATTTTAATAGTTGCATATATTTCTATAATATATATAAAGTATGGGACTACTTTTCTATTGATAGGCAACTAGGTTGGTTGTATTTTTTTTCCTGCTACTAACAATATTGCAAGACACATCCTATGCCATATCCCTTAGGTACTTCAGTGGTGTTTTGTTTTTACAGGACAGACTTCCAGGTTATTTTCATATTTCTGTGCAGAGGATCAGTGACAAAAATGAAGACCTGAAATAGTACAGATGCTGGGGTTGGAAACATTTTGAAAGAAAATGTGGAAGTATTGGATGCTATAAAACAACAGGAAACAGAAAAAAAAGAAAGAGAAAGAAAAGTAAGGAATCCAGTTTTCCAAATAACATATACACTACAAAATCTTTCAATCTTTTAAACCACAAATCATTTCATTTAACATTTCTTAATATTTGTTTTTCAATCAAAAATTCAGTTTTAATTTAGCCAAAATTTTAATAGATTTCAGAAGTCTAATCAAGAATTATTGTTATCTTTATATTTAAGACCATACAAAGCTAAAAGACTTATGTTTATTATATAAAAATATTTTTTGCCTAAAATTCATAGAAAATATTTTAATTAATAGTAAAAGGATTTGTTTCCATGGAAGGACTTTTACTTAAAATACAAATTTATCACTTAAAAATTTTAGCCTGAATTCAAAGCATTGCTAAAAGCCTTTAGAAATTTTTGAGACAAATATTAGTATCTAATATGTAACAGATACAAGCAATCTTTTACTAAAATCATTGTATTAAAAATTAGTGAAATAAAAATAAAGAAGGCAAATCTTTACATTTCTCGTTGTCCAGGGGATGAATTATTGAAAGTTCTCAAACACTACACGAAGGCAGATAATTTTATTCTTAGATTATTGGATAGATACCAAAATAATAGAAAGGAAAACAAAGCTTTATGTCTGTTCTGTGTGTGTTCAGGCAGTAAATACTAGACTAGTCTGGTTAATATAATTGGAAAGAGGCCAGGCTACCAGGCTTGTTAGCCCAATTATAATTCTCTGAATATTCAATAAAAGAAGCCAAGATGACAGCAATACTGTCATAAATGTCATGTTCAATACTTGTAAGATTTTCCATTGTCAGCACAGCCCAATTATAAGTCAATTGTGAAGTGCACATTGCATACCACCCAAAGTGACTGAAAGTTATCTTAAAAATATAATTTTAATAGTTCATAGTTAAAATGACAAAAAAGGATATAAAGGTACTTTAACCAGAGAAAAATTTTAGATGTGACATCAACATTTCCTCATCATTTTAATAAAAGCGGCAAGTTGTAACTATGACATTATAGGTGTTCACAATATTTTTTCAGAGATGATTAGTTATAATATTAAATTTATAATTGATAATAGTTATAATATCAATAATGTGAAAATTTGCACACACAGTTTTGAAGTAAAATTGTGATTATAATAGATTTACCAGAGATATTCATAGATGGATACTGAATAGTTAGTGAATATTAGGCACCATATTAATAAGGTTTATCTCTAAAATCTCCAATACAAATTATCAAAAATTAAAAATACAATTGTTACCAATTGAATTAGTTTTGTTGAATTAGTCAGTTGTCAGTGTATTTGACAAGTACCACTATCTAATAATTTTTGAAGAATTGGTAAATTTAAAAGTGTTTCTCAAAATAAAGCACAGGGCATGAGGGCATTCTCAGGGAAATTTAGATAAATTTGAAAACCTACTTCAAAAATAACATGGCCTAGTCATATTTTCCCTGTTCTTTTAATTCCTACTACTTATTTTAAGATCTCCTGCATAGCAAAATGGTGGTATATTTTGTTAGTATTTTCAGTTTATGAGAGATATAGAACATACTTTATTTGTGATTGCCTTTAGAAGTGTTTGTTGAAAAGTTATTTAGCAGTTCAACATTTCATAAATGGAGATATGAGAGACATGACTAGTATTTATTCACACAGAACTAATGCTAAAGCACCATCCATCTTTGTATTTTAAGATGATATACATTTATTGAAATATCTTAATATTTTAGCGAGTGTTTTTTTATTCCTCTTCCCATAGCAAACTTGTAGATAAGAGAATATTCTTCCCAAACAGGAAAGTAAAACATAAACTTAGAAAGCACTTAGCATTTCCAAGGAGAGAGAAGTTGTTACATCTATGACTTTATATGCAGATATATTAGATATATCCCTCACCTAAAATTTATCTGCAGCAAAATAAAACAAACAGAACCCAATTCCCATTGGTATATACTATAAAATCTATCTTAAATATGAAAAGTTAATTGTTTTATACATATGTACAAATTATAAAAGAAAGAAAATACATTGCCACTACTTCTTAGGATAAGTGACTTTTTCTGGGTCACAAAGTTATCTGGTAGCAAATTTACAAAGAAATCACCATGCTTGATAAACATATGTTTTTAAATCTAGTACATCAAAATTCAATCACTAGACAATAGTATAGCAATATAGTGCTAATCAATACCAGCTGAGTTTGATTCATTTGTATAAATTAGTAAATGGTGGGGCAGGGGGGAGCAAGAGGGGAAAATTGGGACAACTGTATTTGAACAACAATAAAAAAAGAAAAAATTCAAACATTAAAAAAATAATAAATCACACTGCTTTGAAAAAAGAAAAGTACGACTGCATCTAATTTATGAGACATCACATTATTATAGTCCTTTAAGATATGGAT